GATAAGAGGCTGAGATATTGAATCGGGGAGTGCTACGATCTCAGACACGCCGGCACCGTGGGAGGGTTGGAGGGGAGTGGGGGGTGGGGAGCACACACACGTCTTGAAATGGCCAAGGTTGAGAAACATTGCACTAAGACAATCCCACTCTCACCCTCAGCTGTAATATGGTTCCACCCACTTGGTATTATCCTTGCCTCCCCTCACCCCCCAAATAAAAAGGGCAGATCTAATCCATCAAAACATTGCCTCTTCCTGAGCTTCAGCTTGGTTTGTCCACCACTTAGGTATAAATGCACCCCCTGCCCCCAAATATTACTACTACTACTATCTGGCAGAAGGCAGATTCTTCTTATCCTAAGCAGGAATAGAGCACCTTGGAACCAAAGAGGATGCCATAAAGCTAAACCTTGTGTGGACTGGCTCCATGCCCCAGGCCTGTCTCAAGTCTTCCATGTCCCTCTTTTTCCCAGTCCTCCAAACTCAACGTACTGAGGAACCAAGCTCAACAAGTATCTACAAGTACCGCTACCTAAGACTGTCAACACAACTCCACTGGGTTCCAGCATTGCATTTCACTTACTCATCAGCCACAACAACACACACACACAAAGAGGATTTCCTTAACCAGTTCTGGACCACCCACACAGACGTATTAAGACTCAAGGACCTCACCTTTCAAGATTCTTGGCTAAACTATCTTTCCTAAAAATTGCTTACCGCAGAACTTTTGCAGATTGAGACTTTCAGGCAAGGTGAAAAGAACAGAGACAATCTTGGAATGCCTACTCAGTATTTCTCAACTTTGGTGACTTGAGTTGTGTGGGCTTCAACTCCCAGAATTCTCAGTATAGCCACTGCTGAGAATACTGGGAATCGGATGGTCTACTTATGGGAACCTTCTCACAGATGACATATAACCCTTAAAGTAAGACCCAGATGGCTGTTTTCTAGCTATGCCACTCAGACGAAGGAATTGGTGGCCACAAACAAGTGTGTCCTCCAACAAACTACTCCCAAAGTTTACCCTGCATTTGAGCAACCAAGGTTGGGTAACAATGCCAGCGAGGCAAGAATCACGGCTCTTGAACATTCCATGGTGGAATCTCTGTCTAGAGATGGAGGCCTTGAATTTTGTTCAACCAAGGCCAGCCAGATATTGCCACCTGTGGTAGGGCTGTCATCGACTGTGCCTTTTATACATCAATTAGAAAGCATCTACTGCATGATTAAAGCAAAGCACCATTTCGAGGCTTTGTGCAATCCATTGGCCCATGGGCTGTTCTGCAAATCTTAGGCAAATACAGCAATAGCCTACGATAAGCACTAGAAGGCAGTGCAAATCTCCAAGCCCGACGTTTACATGGGGAACTAGAACATGCTCAACCTGTTCATCCCTGCCTGCAGACAGCAACACAAGTTACAGCATGCTATACTACAATAAATATTGCTATATCTAAAGTTCTCACTGTTAGTGACTAGCAAGGATCTCAGTCCACATGGACCTTCATACCGAATAAAGCTTATGATGCATGATTTTTATAAATAAGGACTATGAGCTCAGTTTGTATACATCAAGAGATGAACTATGGTTTACAAACTGCAACAGGTCATACCATACACACTAAGTTAAAAATGATACAGGCCCAAACACATTTACACACATTTAGTCTTAGTGCATTGTGTCTTGCCAGCTTTATCCTACCCAGGCCCCCGTGGCAGCAATAATCAAACCCTTGTTTCTAAGTTTGGCAGGGCTCAGAGAGCAATGAAGGAGGGTTCGATGAGAGATAATTTTGTTGAGAGCCCCCCACTCTAAAGCTAGCCCCACTGCAAACCTTCTTCGCTTGTTTTGAGGTTTGAAGAGATAACTCTGGGGAAAACTTCAACATAATTCATGCTCGAAAACCTTATGGCAGATTTTTAAAATTAATTTATGAGACAAATTACATTTACCATTCCTGCTCCAATCAAGATCTCTTTAGGCTTCCGGTTAAAGATGGCAATGTGAGAAGCCAAGCTCTTTATAAGGCCACCCAACTCAACACTGACTCTGGGCACTGGACAGCATACATATTAAAAACCTACACTTCCTAAAAACAAAACAAAAAGTAAATACTACGGGGAGAACAAATACGTCCGAACCAAAACAAACGTCGTATTGCAGATGGACACACCCTGAAAAAAACAGATTTTCAGAGATTATTTAAAGGCTGGCAGTGTTGGGCACTCTGAAATTCCAGCGGGATGCTATTCCAGAGGGCAGACACCATCACGGAAAGGACACACTTCCCAGGCCCCATCATGTGACATTGCTTAATGGACGGGATGTGAAGCAAGCCCCCCATTGGATTTTATAGGATGGTCAGAAGTGATGGGAGAGAGGCAGTCCCTCAGACAGACAGCTCCCTGAATTGCACCCAGAAGCCAACTGGCAGCCAACGCAACTCACATAGTAGAGGTTGTACCTAAGTGCATCCATAACTGCACGTGAACCAGCTGTAGCTTCCAAGGGGCAGCCCCATGTGGAGTGAATTGCATGAGTAACTATGAAAGGGGACTCCCAGACCAGTAAAAGGCACTATTGGCGCACCAGATGAATCTGTGCAAAGGTCTTCCTGGCCACAGCTACCACGTGCTGTTTCAGCAAGAGCTGTAAATCCAGAAGGACCTCCAAATCGCTCACCAGATTTTTATACTGCCCCATTCAGAACCAAAGATGGAAAATCTCCAGCAGTGAAAGAACCATGCACCCATTGCCATTCCATCTTATTAGGGTTGAGTGAAAGCCTCTTCCTTCCTATCTAGATTCCAACAGCCCCAAGATTTTGGGACCTTGATAGCATCATTTGATTAACCAGGAGTCAAAATGATCCCTCACCTCATATTGAAAGGTGATTTCTCCCAGTGGCTTCATGCAGATGTTAAACAGGAAGAGCAAGAGCTTTCAGCTCTGAAGCACTCTGCAAATCAGGGGCATTGGGCTGGACCTCCCTACATGTCAACACCCATAGGAACTGGCCACAGAGAAAGGAGAACAGCTGTAACACTGTGCCTCCCACTCC